CCACACTGCTCTCTGATAAATAAAAGATACTGAACTGAAAGTGAGCAGAACACTTTAACCACATCCTCAATCAACAGTCATCTATTAGTGAAGAGGCAAATGATCGACTGCCCCAGATTGATATCAACATATCTCTTGCTGATCCCCCAATGCTGATTGAAACTGTGAAAGCAATTAACCTGCTGTCAAATGGCAAAGCACCTGGAGCAGATGCTATACTAGCTGAAGTCTACAAGGCCAGAGGCTCACACATGGCTCTGAAACTGACTGAATTTTTCCAATCAATGTGGACTCAAGGAACTATATCGCAGGAGTACAAGGATGCATCCATCGTCCACTTGTACAAGCAAAAAGGCAACAGACAATCCTACAACTATTGGGGCATCTCCCTTTTGGCAGTAGCCGGCAAAATTCTTGACAGAATTCTGCTGAATCACCTTATGCAACACATTGAACAAGAGCTCCTGCCTGAGAGTTAGTGTCGCTTCAGAAAAGGACTTGGGACTATAGAAATGGGGTTTGCAGCTTTTCATCTTCAGGAGAAATGCCAGGAACAGAACTCCAACCTGTACATGACTTTCATTGACCTGCCAAAAGCATTTGATACAGTCAGTCAGGAGGGCCTTTGGAAGATCATGGCAAAATTCGGTTGCCCGGATAAATTAATCACAATGGTTCATCAATTCCATGATGGCATTCTTGCTCGCATTGTGGATGACGGTGAGTCATCCGAACCGTTCCCAATCACCAGTGGAGTTAAGCGGAGCTGTGTGTTGGCTCCAAATCTCTTCAGTATGATGTTTTCTGCCATGCTTACAGATGCTTTTTGTGACTGTGACACTGGAATTGGCATCAGATACCAGACTGATGGCAAGCTTTTCAATTTGAGGAGACTACAGGTGAAGATGAAGGTACAGGAAGTCACTGTTCATGATCTTCTGTTTGCTGATTACTGTTCCCTGAATGCCAGATCTGAGTCTGACATGCAGCAGAGTATGGACCATTTCTCTTCAGCTTGTGACAACTTTGGTCTTATAATCAACATCAAGACAGAAGTGATGTACCAGCCTGCACCAGGAAAGCCTTATATACAGCCTACTACCACAGGGAATGGCCAAACCCGCCAGGCAGTGGACAAGTTCACCTACCTCAGCAGTACACTGTGTGCAGTTCACACTGATGATGAAATCAATGCCAGAATTGTCAAAGCAAGTGTGGCCTTTGGCAGACTACATGCACATGTGTGGGAGCATAGAGGCATTAGTCAACAAACAAATCTGAAGGTCTACAAAGACATCATATTGCCAACTTTGATGTATGCATGAGAAACCTGGATGGTGTACAGTCACAATGCTATGAAGCTGAATCACTTTTACATGGGCTGTCTGAGGAAACTGATGAGGATAAGATGGCAAGACAAGGCCCAAGATACTGAGGTTCTCATGTGGGCAGACATTCCAAGCATCCATACTCTGTTGATGAAATCATAGATGAGACGGATCTTAAACATAAAAAAGAAGCTTACAAGAAGTGGAAGATTGGACAAATGACCAGGGAAGAGTATAAAAATATTGCTCGGGCATGTAGGAATGAAATCAGGAGGGCCAAATCACACCTGGAGCTGCAGCTAGCAAGAGATGTTAAGAGTAACAAGAAGGGTTTCTTCAGGTATGTTGGCAACAAGAAGAAAGCCAAGGAAAGTGTGGGCCCCTTACTGAATGAGGGAGGCAACCTAGTGACAGAGGATGTGGAAAAAGCTAATGTACTCAATGCTTTTTTTGCCTCTGTCTTCACGAACAAGGTCAGCTCCCAGACTGCTGCGCTGGGCATCACAGCATGGGGAGTAGGTGGCCAGCCCTCTGTGGAGAAAGAGGTGGTTAGGGACTATTTAGAAAAGCTGGACGTGCACAAGTCCATGGGGCTGGATGCGTTGCATCTGAGAGTGCTAAAGGAATTGGTGGCTGTGATTGCAGAGCCATTGGCCATTATCTTTGAAAACTCGTGGCAAACCGGGGAAGTCCCGGATGACTGGAAAAAGGCTAATGTACTGCCAATCTTTATAAAAGGGAAGAAGGAGGATCCTGGGAACTACAGGCCAGTCAGCCTCACCTCAGTCCCCGGAAAAATCATGGAGCAGGTCCTCAAGGAATCAATTCTGAAGCACTTACACGAGAGGAAAGTGATCAGGAACAGTCAGCATGGATTCACCAAGGGAAGGTCATGCCTGACTAATCTAATCGCCTTCTATGATGAGATTACTGGTTCTGTGGATGAAGGGAAAGCAGTGGATGTATAGTTTCTTGACTTTAGCAAAGCTTTTGACACGGTCTCCCACAGTATTCTTGTCAGCAAGTTAAAGAAGTATGGGCTGGATGAATTCACTATAAGGTGGGTAGAAAGTTGGCTAGATTGTCGGGCTCAACGGGTAGTGATCAATGGCTCCATGTCTAGTTGGCAGCCAGTATCAAGTGGAGTGCCCCAAGGGTCGGTCCTGGGGCCGGTTTTGTTCAATATCTTCATAAATGATCTGGAGGATGGTGTGGATTGCACTCTTAGAAAATTTGCGGATGATACTAAACTAGGAGGAGTGGTAGATACGCTGGAGGGCAGGGATAGGATACAGAGGGACCTAGACAAATTGGAGGATTGGGCCAAAAGAAATCTGATGAGGTTCAACAAGGGTAAGTGCAGGGTTCTGCACTTAGGACGGAAGAACCCAATGCACAGCTACAGACTAGGGACCGAATGGCTAGGCAGCAATTCTGCGGAAAAGGACCTAGGGGTGACAGTGGACGAGAAGCTGGATATGAGTCAACAGTGTGCCCTTGTTGCCTAGAAGGCCAATGGCATTTTGGGATGTATAAGTAGGGGCATAGCCAGCAGATCGAGGGATGTGATCGTTCCCCTCTATTCGACATTGGTGAGGCCTCATCTGGAGTACTGTGTCCAGTTTTGGGCCCCGCACTACAAGAAGGATGTGGATAAATTGGAGAGAGTCCAGCGAAGGGCAACAAAAATGATTAGGGGTCTGGAACACATGACTTATGAGGAGAGGCTGAAGGAACTGGGATTGTTTAGTCTGCAGAAGAGAAGAATGAGGGGGGATTTGATAACTGCTTTCAACTACCTGAGAGGTGGTTCCCAAGAGGATGGTTCTAGACTATTCTCAGTGGTAGAAGAGGACAGGACGAGGAGTAATGGTCTCAAGTTGCAGTGGGGGAGGTTTAGGTTGGATATTAGGAAAAACTTTTTCACTAGGAGGGTGGTGAAACACTGGAATGCGTTACCTAGGGAGGTGGTAGAATCTCCTTCCTTAGAAGTTTTTAAGGTCAGGCTTGACAAAGCCCTGGCTGGGTTGATTTAATTGGGGATTGGTCCTGCTTTGAGCAGGGGGTTGGACTAGATGACCTCCTGAGGTCCCTTCCAACCCTGATATTCTATGATTCTATGATTCTATAGGCAAGCTATGTCACCAAAATGTCAGATGAGCACCTGCCAAAGATCTTTTATGGTGAGCTAAATGAGGGAAAGTGCTCTCACGGAGGCCAAAAGAAATGTTTCAAGGACTCCCTCAAGTTGTTCTTGGGGTGGTTCAACACTGACCCAGAGTTTTGGGAAGATCTCACTCTTGATCGTGCTACCTGGCACAGCCTCATCCATGCTGGTGCTCCAGTCTATGAGCAGAGGAGAACTGCTGAGGCAGAGCAGAAGCACCAGCAGTATAAATCTCACAATAGCAGCACATCTGCTATTAATCAAGCAACCCATAGCAGCATCTATTGTTTAATTTGCCACAGGCAGTTCAAAGCTCAAATTGGCCTGATCAGCCACTCATGTGTTCACAGAAACCAAACCAACCAGTTATGTCATAGTCATCTTCGAACTCTAAGCAACAACAACAACAAGCTTCTAACTGCCAGAAGCTGGGACTGGACAACAGGGGATGGATCACTCAATAATTGCCCTGTTCTGTTTATTCCTTCTGAAGCACCTGGCACAAGCCACTGCCAGAAGACAGGATCCTGGGCTAGATGAATCATTGGTCTGACCCAGTATGGCCAGTTTGATGTTCTTTGCAACCACAAGGGCTACAGACCAGTTTTTTAATGCCAGTTTAAATTTTGCAGTTTTGTGACTCCCCTCACAATGAAAGCATCTTCGGGCCCCAGCCTCGGTCTCAGTCCCAAGGTTGAGAACCACTAATACATTTCACTGTTAGGAAGTTTGCACTGCTATGTAACTTAAATTTTCTTTTTCTTGACTGCATCCCATTACTCATTGTTACATCCAGTAGGAGTGTTCTGAACTATCCCTGTCCTTAATCGGGGAGCAAGGAGAGCAAATTGAAGGTACCCTCATTCCCATCAAATGAGCACATGCAGGGCACCCACATCCCAACCAACAATCACATCCACTTGAGGTACCTGAAATCACCTAGCATTCAAGGGGAGCACACCCAGGACACTCCTACCCATCCAGCACTCTAACCCAGGGAGCACTGTAATTCAAGGCACTGTCACTACAACACCCTAACTAGGGGAGCAAACCCAGGGTACCAACAGCTCACCCAGCACTTGAGATTGTGAAGCATGCTTACCTATTCCATCTAACTTGTTCATCAAAGCATTTACACTGTGCTCATCACTGTGGTATCTGACTGCCTGAACCCCAGGTTCACCTTTGTTTTGTCATCACTTCAGCTTCCAGGTGACCGTGAGCTAGAATGTGGAGTTCCACTGTCCCTTATGGTGCTGGGTATTATTTCCCCTCACCTGAGTGTGTGAGAGGTGTGAATTTTAGTAGCTTGCATTTGGTTAGGTAGGGCATTTCTGTAGCACAGCACAGATGAACTGCAGTGAAAAGGGGATAAAAGAAAGGGGATGGGTTTGTTATCAGGAAATAAACCACACACATCCCTATGTACTATCACCCTCCGAGACCCCCATCACCGCTTCCCTGACCCCTTATTGGGCTGGTCATTTCCCATCACCTCAGTCTTGTCATTTGGATGACTTAGCACTGTGCCCATGCTTCTGTGGTGATAAGGCAGCATGACAGATCCTGGCCAAGTAGTGGGACTCATGAACAGAACTTCTGGTCTCCCGTGGCATCACCCTGTAAGAAGTGGCATTGTCACTAGACTAGGCCTTGGAGTATGTTTCCAGGTCAGAGGTTGCTATGCTGTACTGGGAGTGGGTTTGGGCTTCTGAGATGCTGAGCTGGGGCTGGGAGTAGAATTTCACTTCCAGGTCAGAGGTTGAATGCCCCGTGAGGCAGAATGTGGTTCACTCTGGGACAGCTGATGGTTGGAGGGGCCCTTTTGCTCACTGAATGCTGGCTCAGCAGAGTTCTGGCTGCTTGTGGATTCCCTGGTGGTGGCTGGTTGGCACCATGAGCTGAGAGAAGTGGTTGAAAAGTAGGCAGGGTCAGACCTGGGCAGTGCCAGTGGCTTCTGGCCAGAGCACATCACCAGGGAACTGCGTGATGTGACCATTTCCACAGCACTCTTGAAAGTCTGCAGCACTCGCTCACTCTTGTGCTTCTCCTTCTTCTGCCGTGACTCTTTCCTCCTTAGCTGCCACCACTGGTCTCGTACCATCTGCTTCTGTGTGTCCACTAGGCTCCTATGCAGCAAGAGACAGTGAAGAAGGGGGGACAGAGAAAATAGGAAGTAAACAGACGGTCACTGTGGTTGTAGGACATCCATCTGTTCCCTCAGGAAGCAAAGCTCTACAGTTAATCAGGGCAACTTGCTGCTCCCTATTGCCTGGGTCCATTCTCTTTTCTGGCCAGAGGCAGGAGGCTCTAGATGCTGATGAGCCCAAAACACTATCTTGGATTCGTCTTCTCGTGCTTTGACTGCCTTTGAGTCATACACTGTCAAGATCTTGCAGAGGCTACAGCCCCCACACATCGGAGAGGGTCAGTATACTGTAGCCTATGCTCTCTGTGCAGCGCAGTGTGGAGGCACAGGCAAGCGCTGTGGGATTCTGTCTGGACTGGAGCTAGGTGAAATTTTTCAGATGAAACTTTTTTTCACCAAAGGCAGATTCTGATTGACCAAAACATTTTGTGAATTTGTATTGAACTGGCTGACTTGTTTCAGTTAAAAAAAAATCCCCAAAAAGTCCAAAAATGTTTTTACTTTTTGATTTGAAACAACTTTTTGTTTAGAATTTTATTTAAAAATTGTTATAAGTTAAAAAAAATTGAGAATAAAACATTTTATTTGGGGTCAAACTGAACTTTTTAAGAATTGTTTTGTTTAAAAAAAATTGTTTTGGGTCAATACAAAATGATTTTTTTTCTGGTTTACTTACCAAACTGACAAATCAATTAGTTATCCACACAGCTCTAGTATGGATAGTCTCCGCAGCAGGTAGCTAACTGTAAGTGAAAGTTACTCTAGATAAGCAATGTAATGATATCAGAGCACGGGCGGTGATTTCAACCTGCTCCTACTAGACACACTTTACAACCAGACAATTTTCTGGGGAAGTTTTGGTACACTGGATAAACTGGTAATATGGAGCTCAAAATTTAATTTAATGCAAAGAAGCCAGAAGAAAATGAAAGCTAGTATAACTGTCCTAAAGACTCCAGCCCCCAGGTGGTCAGGCGAGGGCCACAAATGCAAGAAATTAGCAGAGATTGTTTAGAATCTCTTCCCACTTCCTGTAAACCCTCTTCCCACTTCCTGTAATTCAGTCTGCCCACAAATATTTCCCCATCATAGTCCTGAGGATCATCTTTGCTTAGAAAAGTTAGAGATGTAAATTATCTATCATGTCCCATCTAGTCTATCCTAGTGGGAGCAGAGCCAGATTCTTCCCTGAAGACTATTCTGTTCTAGAGCTTAATTCAGACCTAGTTCTAAATAACCCAAGTGATGGACCTGGGCCTTCTCTTGGCAAGGAGAATACGCCATAATCTGAAATTTCACCCTTCGGAAATGTTTCCTGCAAATCACCATATAGTTTCCTTTTTAGAAGAAACATCTGTGACGTTGCACCCCATAATGCTTTATGGAAATATGCTTATGAAAGTAAATATGACATAACTGGAATATGTTTTATGCTAGATATGCCATGTAACATATCTCTGCAAAGGTTATGATCTAGTGGATATATTCATCCTATTTGTATGCATGTATCATTTTTGTATTCGAAGCTATGAATATTAGCTATGTTCTTGTTTTATTTTAAGTAGCCTCAGTGAAGCAGTTGGTCAGCTTCCTGAGAAAAAACTATTCTCAGTAAGTGCCCAATCAAGAAACACTTAAGCTAACAATGAACTTAGAGACACCAATCCACATCTGAGCTTTCCCAGGAATGTGGCCTGGCTAGTAAGGAACTCAGTCATGCATGGACATGTGACTTGCCCATGTGACTCCAAAACTCCATCTTGGAGCTGGATTCTGAGTAGGCGAGAGGAGGGGGTCTCCACCCACAAGAGAAAGTCTATTTAAGCCTCTGGGAGACTCCTCCATTTGGTCTTCAGCTGGCTCAAGAGATAGCCTCTCCACCCCCAAAGGATACCTGAAAGAAACTGGAAAAAAGGACAGTAACCACAGGAATATGAGTGATTGCTGGACCCAGACTAGAAAGAGGTTAGTCTGTAAGAGAAGCTTACTGGAACATCTGTGAGGGTGAGATTTCAGCTGTAATCACTTTCTTACTGTATTAGGCATAGACTTGCATGTGTTATTTTATTTTGTTTGGTAATTTACCTTGTTCTGTCTGTTGGAACCACTTAAATCCTACTTTTTGTATTTAATAAAATCACTTTTTACTTATTAATTAATCCAGAGTATGTATTAATACTGGGGGGGGGGGGAGAAACAGCTGTGCATATCTCTCTATCAGTGTTATAGAGGGTGAACAATTTATGAGTTTATGCGGTATAATTGTATAAGCTTTATACAGGGTAAAACGGATTTATTTGGGGTTTGGACTCCATTGGGAGCTGGGCATCTGAAAGTTGGAGACAGGAACACTTCTTAAGCTGTTTTCAGTTAAGTCTGAAGCATGTGGGGGATGTTGTTGAAATCTGGGTCTGTGTTTGTAGCAGACTAGTGTGTCTGGCTCAGACCAGGCAGGGCACTGAAGTCCCAAGCTGCCAGGGAAAACAGGCTCAGAGGTAGTCTCGGCACATCAGTTGGCAGTCCCAAGGCGGTTTCTGTGATTCAATCTTGTCACAACATCATCATTTTAAAAAATAGAAATAAAAACCACACCTTCTGTCTGAAACAGTTTTAACCAGGGGTTGGCAATGTGTCCGTACATGGACACAAGTGTCCATGGTAAAAAATTTTGAGGTCAGTGGGGGGCGCTCACCTCGGGTGGCTCCCTACAAGTAGCTCTCTGACCCTGCTGTTGCTGGCAGAGGCATGGATAGGCAGCTCTGCCCGCTGCCTCCGTCCCCGAGCGTTGACTTTGCATCTCCCAGCAATTTGGCTGGGAACTGTGGCCAATGGTAGCGAGGCGGGGGGCGGAGCCTGCAGACGGAGGCAGTGTGCCTGCAGAGCTGCCTGACCACTCCTCCACCAGCAACAGCAGGGATGGGGAGCTGCCCGAGGTGAGTTTAGAGTGAGGATTGTGCAGCTTTAGCCACACATTTCTCCATGAAGCTCAGTTGGATAGTGGGGTTTGGATGGGATTAATGCTAAATATGCATTTAAAAATGCTTTAATTGATTTTTAAACCAGAAAATAAGTTAGAATGTAATTGTGTTGTTAAAATAAGGAAAAGGAATCACATCACCTGTAAAGAGTCTGGTATGTCTAAGTTTGCTGCTTGCAGATGCTATAGCACTAAGAATTGTCTTCAGCACTTAGAGCCTGACCTCAAAGCCCCTTGAAGTTTATGGAAGGTTACCCATTGATTTTAGTGGACTTTGGATCAAGTCCTAAGTGAACTCAATAGAAACCAGTTTCTGCTCGGTTGTAAATCATGATTCAATAACCCAAGGGCAACTTTAGACTATACACATTAAATTTTATTTTGATTAACATTCAACGATGAAATTCTTTTCCTTATCCAGCCTTAAAAAACAAGTGGAAATTGGTTTGCAATTTCTGGTGCTGGGCTCCAAAGTTTAACCAGTCGTGTTAACTTTCACTGGTTTCATGGTTCCCACCCAAAAACTCAGGAATGCAGATTTTCATTAGAAAAACTTTGGGCCCAATTCTGCCAACATTTACTCGTGAGTAATTTTACTCATTTGTGTAGTTTCATTTAATTCAACATGAGTAAAATTATTTGCAGGCTGGTTTCCAGGATTATTATTATTTATTACTTGTATTATTCTATGGCTAGGGTGCCACACACCAGATCTCCATTAAGCCTTTTTTCTTTTCTAATACAGCTCACCACTTCATCTACAATCAGAACCCCATTCTACGTAAGCTTTCAGAAGACTGCACTGTGCTAAACAGAGTAGCTTCCTTTGAACTCACAGCCTTTTGCAATTGGCAATTTTAGATAAACCGCTAACATCATTTGAATACAGAATATTAAATATTAAAAGCTAGCAATTGTATTTTTCTAGCTGTCCCTTCCTCTGCCATGACGTATATGTTTTTCTAACAAACAATTCATCACTATTGTGTCATTTCAGGAAGAAAGCCAAGTAACTAGGCAATTAATCCAGTAATAAAATAATTTATATAACAAATTATACATTGAACACATCCAGGCTCTTGCTATGCCTTGAAACAGATCTTGAAGTCACAGAGGAGAGTAATTGCTTATTTTAAATAATAATACTTTGCACTTGTACAGCACCTTTCAGCTAAAAATCTCAATGAATTTATTATTATTATTATTATTATTATTATTAGCTAGCTAGCTAGGTTACTGGTTTTTTTCAGTGTGGAAAATTATGTGCGCTATTTTACGGGTTGAATGATTGAATGACATAACCCCCCCGCCAATGTCCGTCACTAAGTCCGGTAATTTTGTCAAGTGTCTGTCGCACAACATGGTGGTGCTGACCTCTAGTCTTACCTAGTTTTATTATAAGTGACCCATAAAATTCCTAGAAATGAAAGAGTAAAATAAATATTTTCTCTGTGATTTCAGATTGTTTATTTTGTGCATTTGACTGCACTATGGGTACAGTCAATTTCACTGATTCTCTGTATAGTCAATCAGGGTCTGAGCCTGCAGCCATTTACTGCCAGGCCTAGTGATTACTACTCTGAGTAGCACCATGGGCCTGGTTCTCTGCTGCCCTGTATCTATGTAATCATTTACACCTGTGCAAACTGAATGTGAAGTGGGTGTAACATACTATAAAATCACCATGCTAGCATTCTAACACCTCCTCTACCCCCACTTTGCATTCAGTTTGTATAGACTGTAAACTCTTTGGGTCAGGGACTGTATTTTTGTTCTGTGTTTGTACAGCACCTAACATAGTTGGGTCCTGGTTCATGACTGGGACTTCCTGGCACTATGATGATGATGATTAGTAATAATAATAATAATTAATTAATTAAAGTGTAGGGCAACAGAGGATCAGGTCCACTGATTTCAAGTTGTCCTACTCAGGCTACCTTGCACTAGGCCTGGCAGTAACTGCTTGAAGGATTGGATCCTTTAGTTTGTCAGTTTGCATTGTCATTTGTGTGGATCTTTCACACAGCAACAGAGGAGAGATGAGGCTTTCAGTTCATTAGCTACAAGGTTGTTCTTGTAACACAAGAACCAGCGGTCACTCGATGAAATTAATAGGCAGCAGGCTAAAAACAAACAAAAGGAAGTACTTCGTCACATAACGCACAGTCAACTTGTAGAACTCATTGTCAGGGGATGCTGTGAAGGCCAAAACTGTTACTGGGTTAAAAAAAAATTAGATAATTTCATGGAGGATAGGTCCACCCATGCATAGGTGCCGACTCTGTGGGTGCTCCGGGGCTGGAGCCCTCCCACCCAAGCTCGCTTCCACTCCACCTCCTCCCCTGAGCGCGCTGCTTCTCCCCACTCACTCCCAGCTCTTGCGCCGCAGAACAGCTGTTTCCCGTGGCAAGCCTGGGGGGGGAGGCGCAGAACACGGCGCACTTGGGGGAGGAGGCGGGGCCTGGGTGGGGATTTGGGGAGGGGTCCAATAAGGGCAGGAGGGGCGGAGTTAGGGTGGGGACTTTGGGGCAGGGGCGGAGTAGGGCCAGGGGCAGAGTAGGGCCAGGGGCGGGGCCAGGGGCGGGGGTGGTGTGCAAGCTCCCACTGGTGCAGAAAAAAGTTGGCACCTGTGCACCAGTGGGTATTAGCCAAGATGGTCAGGGACCATCGCTCTGGGTGTCCCTTGCCTCTGAGTGCCAGAAGCTGGGCGTGGACACCAGGAGACGGATCACTCGATAATTGCCCTGTTCTGTTCATTCCCTCTGAAGCACCTGGCACTGGCTGCTCTGGGAAGGCAGGATACTGGGCTAGATGGTCCGTTGGTCTAATCCAATATGGCCGTTCTTATGTTCTTTTTAATTAAACATTAATTTCCTCTCCCCCTCATCACCTCTTCACTATTCAACCCACTCAGTGTCCACACACAGAAATCCCTAGCTTCAATTCCAATATTCTTACGTCTCATCTTCCTAGCATTCAACCCATTGCCTCCACATAGCAAGATTTGAGGGGATTATTTAAACTAGGATCTGGGGAAGAGTTGACGGCAGCAGAGAAGCTCTTAGGTCAGACAAAGGCGTCTGCTCGGGATAAAGGTATGAGTAAGAGAGAGGACAAAATTTAGTGGAGGAGAGAGAGATTGAGAACACCAAGGTAAATTATGGAAAAGTAATAGAATTATGATGATAGTGATCTAATGCTTGGAGATCGGTCTTGTGTTGAGTGTGACTGTTGCCTCAGTTTATGGCTTCATTGCTTGTAAGAGTTTGCATTGTTGTGAGGAAATACACTTGAGCAACTTTAACTTTAAGTCAATGGAGTTTTTGGATGGGAATTTTGGTTAGGGCAGAAGTAAGACTTACCAGATAGTAATTGCCAGGATCATTCTTCTTTCTTTTTTTGACAATTGATTCCTCCATAGCTTTTTTCCAATCCTCTAGTATAGCAATTCCCCAGTTGTCCAACATTTGTTAGCAGCACAGTCAATTTTTAGCAATTCCCCAAACATCCTAAAGTGCATTTCATCTGGATCTACTAATTTGTACCTGTTCATATTTTCCAAGGTATTACCTGTTTATCATTTTTAAAAGGTCTCCATTACTTCTTAGTAATTGTCAGACCTCTTTATTTTTCTTGTTAAAGACAGATTTTAAAAAGCAATTCAGTATCCCAGCAATTTTAGGTCTGTCATGGATTTCATCCCACTCCTGCCTTTCTAGTATATCTTTCCTCCTGGATATAATTGTTTAAACCAGGGATCGGCAACCTGTGGTACATGTGCCAAAGGCGGCATGCGAGCTGATTTTTAGTGGCACTCTGCTGCCAGCAAGGGTCCCAGCTGCCGGTCTGGGGTTCCGTCCACTGGCCCTTGCCAACCGGGGTCCTGGCTGCCGGCACCGCTCAGCCCGCTGCCGGCCCAGGCTTCCGTCCATCCAGGCCAGCAGCGGGATGAGCGGGGCTGGCGGCTGGGACCCCAGACCGGCAGCGTGGGCGGCAGACGGAACCCCAGACCGGCAGTGCGCTGAGCTGCTCAGCCCGCTGCCGGTCTGGGGTTCCCGCTGCCGGTCTGGGGTTCTGTCTGCCACCCGCGCTGCCGGTCTGGGGTTCCATCCACCAGCCCCTGCCAGCCGGGGTCCTGGCTGCCGGCACTGCTCAGCCTGCTGCCGGCCTGGGGTTCCGTTGCGGGGGCCCTGTAAATGTAACATTTATTACTGGCACAAGAAACCTTAAATTACTGAAGACTTGGCACTCCACTTCTCAAAGGTTGCCGACCCCTGGTTTAAACCCTTATTCCTCTTAATCCTTTTGGCAGCATTAAGTGTGGCTGCTCCCCTCTTTAATTCTCCTCTTGCCTTCAAGGTCCCTGTATCAAGGCTGCTAAGATCTGTCTGGTGGTGTCTGCACAGGACTTCATTTAGACCTCTACCACACTGCTCCAGAAAGGGGGCAATAGTAGCATATAACTCCACGGGACTCCTCCATTACAGCCCTCCTTCTCCTTCTCCCTCTCTGCAAATAAGTGCAGCACTCCCACATTGTGGAGCAAGATGTGCTGGTACCTGGCCTCTCATGGAGCTTTCTTCTCTCCACTTGGTCAACAGGACTATACTCCAACCTTCACAAACCTGTCCCAGACATGCAGGGGAATGTAAGCTTTATTTTTTAGATTCAGTAGCCTTGACTATCAAAAGTTCCCCATTCCTCTACTTTCCCAAGCCATAAGTCACTTTGTTTTAGCTTCTTTCCCGCACTTATCCTTCCACCTTTCACCAGCTGACCTGCCTCCTGTCTTCTCTCCTAAGGTTCCTCCTCCTCCTTTTCTTTAGGCTTCTGTGCTGGCTGCTTCTCTTTTAAATTACTGATTTAAAAGGTGAAAGAAGAGAAATCAGGATTTTAAACCAGTTTAATGAACCTTCTCCCTCCTCCTAGATGCCTGAAAGACACTGAGAAGGCCATGAAAAAACTGTCTGAGGTGGGAGCGATCCGGACATCAAAGTTAGATCTGTCCCATCTCTTAGCTATATGTGTGACAGTAACACTATGGCACATGAAATAGACCCAGCTGGATAGACTAGATTAACATTTGCAAAACTGGCCCATCTGCTTCAGACCTTAAATCTAGACTATAATATGACATATTTAAAATCCATGGCAGTGTTTGAAGAGTGAGGATATTCTGGCAAAATTATCAGAGCTTTGAGATCATCAGTCGCATCTTAGACTGCAAATCTAGGGGCAATTTCCTTTCCCAGGACAAGTGGCTTGGCCTGCAGCTCCGAACAGCCTTGGAATGTCCGACCACTCAGACTCTCAGAACTTCCACACTACTGCTAAAGGCTGATATTTATTCAGAATTACGGAAGGCACTGTGGTTTGAAAGCAGGTTTGTGCGGAAGACCGGGACCCCTAAGAAGAAGGATCATATAAGGAAGCAAAGAAATGGAGGTCTCTCAGGATGGAATAGAGGGTCTGAAAGCAGAGATTTGCTGCCTTTATGGAATCTTCTTCTGGGTTTCAGAGTGGAGGGTGATGCTGAGATGATACCTGGAGAGTCCATAACTGTCACACAACAACATGTGCAGCACTGAAAATGCCATTCCATTGTGAGATTCATGCCATTTCACGGCAGGCTTGGGAAACATGAGGGATTTTGTGGTATACGAGAAGAGTGCAGAAAAATATAGAAGTTCTGGCCTGGATCAAAAGGGTTGCTACGCATGCAGCTGGTAATCTCACCTCTAGGCTACTCAAAAAGGCAGTCTGGATCATGTCACAGAGTAGGAGGGATCCCTGAATGACCAATGCCATATGCCCCAGCTGTGTCCTCCCCTCCAGAGTGAACTAGCCTAGGTTCATTCAGTATCAATCAGAACTGAGACAAATAAAGAAAAGAAGAAAACGAGAGAGAAAGCAAGTGCGGGAGATGCTTCACTCACCTGTAATCCACCATCCCTGTCCGGTGCTGGTCCAATTTGTGCACCAGTTCCACAATCTGGGCTCGATCTAGTGGAATTCTTGATTGCTGGTGGGAGAAGGGAGAAAGGAGATTTTGATTATCTCTCCTCTTGTGGCTCCCAGTGGCTGAAATACAAATGGTGCCAGACAGCGTGGCTTCTTTGCACAAAGAACTCTTTTTACCAGCATGAGAAGCAATCACTATTTAATAAGTAGGTGAATAGCCTGGAGCAATTAGAAAGGGAGGGGAGAATTTTAGCAGGTGGCCAAATCCACCTTTCCGAGCATTCAAGAAAAAATGCAGTTGTTTTTTGCACCCTTTCTTTGTCAGGTGTAAACAAGATTAAACATTGAACTGTGGATGTTTTCTCACAGGCAGTGTTGAAGTGATCACCATAGTTGGGGCAAAGGAGGGATTTTTTCCTCAGGATGTGTTGGCAAGGACTGAAGTGGCTTTGTTTTTTCCCATAGCACTGTGCAGAGATCATCCATAAAGATCCAATAGACATATTCCACACAATCAGTCTCCTTTCATCATCTATGTTTCTTTTAAGTACCCTGGAGGAACCAAGATAGATGGGAGTTGGTATACTGGGATTTTACATGGTTAATGTTATTCCAGAATGGATCCATGGCTATTTTGCCACCCACATCATATATTAGGTCTCATGGCATTTCCTTTGTGCCTCATTCAGGGATAAGTGTTTTTCATGACACATGTGGAGTTAGCCTAGTGGTGTGAGCTTCCTCACAGAAGGGCTCAACCAGTATCAGCTGGAGGCTTCAGCAGTGTGAGCTTCCTCATAACAATACCCTACCCTGAGAAAATTAGAAGACACTGTTTCTGAAGCACACCTGCATCATGGCTTTCCGGAATTCTGCCACAGGGATCTTCATACTTCCATCTTTGTCCATGTTCCTAAAGAAATCCCAGAGTCTCAACTTGCGTTCATCCAAGTAGTTCTAGGAGAAGCAGAGAAACAAAGATAAAACTGAAATAGTGTTCAGTAACTGCCTCCATCACTTCCTTAGGGAGACTATTCTGCAGTCTGGTATCTTTCTAGGTATTTATACTGTGCTCATTATTGTGGTATCTGAGCTTCTAATGCAGTGCTTCTCAAGCTATCTGATGTCGGGGACTGGCAATTTTTTTCCCCAATGTGCGCGCAGACCAGCAGCCGATGGCTCGCGGACCGACACCGGTCCGTGGACCATCACTTTGAGTAGCACTGATCTAATGGAGCCATTTGTCCTGATTTTCAGGCTAAATTTTCCTTTGCTCAGGCTCATCCAGTTCTTCCTACTTAGACCCCATTGGAACAACCCTAAATAATTCTTCTATCTCCTTGCTCTTTATCCTTCAAATATTTATATATGATTCTCAAGTCCCCACCACACAAGTCATTGTTTGATCAAATGATAAATATTTAGTTCTTTGGATGTATCCTCCTAAGTCAGTCCCTTCCTCCAGGTGCCTGATCATTTTTATTGCCCTTCTCTGAACTACCTCCAGTCTGACAATGTCTTACGGGCCCCAAGGAGTCCAGACCTGAATGCAATATTCTAGGAGAAATGAGCTAGAGTGCCACTGAGAAGTGAAGTCAGGAAAGTAACTGAAATACTTCTCTGATGGATTGTATTTACTGAGGGACAACCTATCCTATATCCTCAATTACTGAGGGACAATCTACACTCATTACTATATTTGCTTTCCACAAGCTACTTTTAGTATAACTTTTTATGAGTGATGTACTTGAATATTTGGATGCTAATATTTAAACTGTATTGTTAAATTTATCAGCCTTAATTTGGGATATTGCAGATTATGTATCATCTGTATTTTATTGTTTTTTAAACCAAACTTTGTAGTTTTGGATAATTTAAGCATTATACCCAGATGTATATAATTTTAACATTAGCTTTAATAATTTTTTTTATTCCTGATGTCATGTAGAGAGGGAATAGCATTTTCTTGCTGTAAATTGTGGTGCTTCTGCACATGCAACCCAAAACAGCTTTGTCTATTTTTGATACCATATTCTGTTGCAAACACGTCGTCTTTGCTGTTCATTCTCATCCCAGGTCTTTGTTGGCCGCCAAGATCTGTACACACAGTGAACAATTCTCTGTGGCTCTCACCACTTCTCCCACCTTCAGTGCAACTAGCTGTTCCAAGTGCACCCAGGCTGTACACTAGGTCTCCTAGCACCTTGTATAGATCCCAACACACTTATTCAAAGCCACATATAGTGTTGCAAAGGCTAACTGGATAATATTCTGCTTAGACACTAAGGAATGCAGCCAGGTTAGCAGTAGCAACCTGGTCATGAAAAAAGTTTTATCCAGATCACCAGGTTTCATTTTATGACATCGCCACCTGCTGTCATTTGTAGAAATTACAGGCCTTTGAAAATAGCCAGTTATATAAAGTTTCTGGCAATCTTTGTTAATAAATCATATAATATCTTGTGTAGCTTAATCCTGAAGGCTCCAAAAATGTGACAACTAGGGGTCCTATTAAGTTCAATTGGGATAGTGGGGGTTTGTGATGATCTGAACTGAGCTTCACCAGCATGTTTCAGACAGCTCATCTGACGGTTAGACAAGGAAGCAGTACTGTCAGGGGATTATAGAATAGGACTGGGAATCAGAAGAGCTGGGTTATATTCTCAACCCTGCCACTGACTTGCTGTGTGAAATTAAGCAAGCCATTTAACTTCCTTGTGCCTCAGTTTCCTCACCTGTAAAACAGAGATAATACTAACGCATTTTTGTAGAGTGCTTTGAAAGCCTTGGATTAAAGCTGTCATCCAAAGTCACAGAATTAGTATTACTAATGATTTTTTAGTCACTAATGACCTGAATGAGATTCAAACCATCAGACTAGAGGTTAAAAAGAAGTTTGTAGCCTATTCAGACTCCTGTGAGCCATCCAATCCCCAGCCATGTGTTTCCCCTAAAAACCAGAAAGATTTGTTAAGTAATTCTACATGGAATTTAATGTGTGGCTATGGAATGCTCCATTTCACAATACAAGAGGAGACTGCATGGCCTCTTCTGGAGGGTCCTGACTGGATGAATTTTCTGCTGAGAAGAAAGCTCACCCCTCTCTGCAGTAGCCCGGAGTTTGTGCACTGGTGTGGAGAGACTATGGAACCAATCTGGACTGCTTACCTGAATCAGCTTCATGGGGTCTGGACGCTGTTCAGGCTTCTTGGAGATGAAGCCTTGAACCCCACCATAGATGACATCTAATTCAGGGTGCACCTGACACACCACATCCAGCAGCTTGAGGAAGCTTCCATTCACAAGCACATTCTAATGTAGGGGAAAGAGGACACTACATTCAGCACAGGCATCCCAGCCATATTGTCCAGCCTGCCTTGGTGTTTAATGAAAGTAAGAAACCTCCTGTATTAATGAACCCCATCTTATGTCAATATTAACTATTCTCCCTTGGGCAAATAGTTGGATTCTCTCTTGGGAAAAGGACTTGCTTTATTTGCCACCAGTTCTATCCAAGTCTTAGTTGGATGTCCCTGAAATGGACACAGGCTGTGCCATTGTGCCAGAGACATTGTGTTATCTTTTTATGTTGTTGTTGCTGTTAAACTATGATCTGTGACCATATGCCTCATACCTTCTCTCCTTTAGTGGATCCCACTGCAGGCCCAAGACTCTCCAGTGCTTCAGCCTCTGAGCATATATTCCCTTTCTTTATCCTCACCACCCATCACCACTGCTGATACACAAAATTTACTTCTGTTTGACACAAGACAAATGCCCATCAAGCTGAAACACATCTGCCACCTTGCTCGAATAGTCGGTCATCAGCGTGGTCCCCTCCCCACTTGGTCAACATATGACCTGTTCATTATTGCTTGGCTTTCTGCAGAAAAAATAATATTAAAACTGTGATCTAAAGTCAAAGGGGTTAGTTTCCCCAATAATGCCTCTTTACAGTCCTCCCTACAGGGACAGGGGAATCTGGGAGGGGTTCTGGGAGCTGTGAGGAGCCGTGGCAGACCCTCCACCTGCCCTGGGCGGAAGGCCCAAGCAGCCCCCCACCCAGTGTCCCATCCCGCCACGCAGGGCAGGTGGAGAGACCCAGGCTCCCCACAGCTGCCAGTGTGGCTTTCCCCGACCTGGCTCTAGCAGGGAGGGGGCAACTCAGAGCTGCAGCCTTGCCCTGGTAATAGCCAGGCGGGCAGCTGTGGGGACCCGTGGTGGACCCTCCACCTGCCCTGGGCATGGATCCCAAGCAGCCCCCGCCCAGTGTCCCTGCCCCCCAAGCACCCGCCCAGGGCAGGGGGTAGTGGATCCGTGCCGCGGTTCCTCACAGCTGCCCACCCGGCTCTTACCGTCAGAGCCCTGTGTGGATACAAAATTTGTATCCGCATCTGCACTGCTATCTGCAGAAATGGTCCATGGATATAAAGCGGATACCCACGGTTTTGCAAGGCTCTAAGTATGTAGTGCTGGTGAAAGGTTACATATCGGCAGTATCTGGAGACTAAGAGTTTGGTTTTCAGAGACGCTGAGCACTTGCAGGGCCCACTGATTTTGATGGAGTAGTGGGGGCTCAGCATTTCTGAAAATCAGACTTACCTCAACTATCCCCAGAGCAGGCATAGCAAGAACAGCACTAATACAATATTCTGTCTTAAGATTTTATAGCTACCTGTAGGGGGTAAACCTCAATATGATGCAAAACTGGTTATTAATGAAATCATTATAATTGATTTTTATTATGTTAGGTTATTATAAACTTGTCTTTGCCTTTACTGAAATTTTAAGAGACAATTAAAATTATGTTCATACACATGATGCTTGGATAATATGATTGCTCAAATGCTTGTTAGTTGCTTATTTAATTATATAAAACATCAAGCTAGGTAAGGAGATTCCTGGAGGCCTCTGCTTTCTGTCAGTGTGACAGGCTTCCAAAGCTCAAGGAAAATAACACCATGTTTATTACCCCAAGTGAAGTTACCAAGACTCTTTTCAGAGTAACAGCCGTGTTAGTCTGTATTCGCAAAAAGAAAAGGAGTACTTGTGGCACCTTAGAGACTAACCAATTTATTTGAGCATGAGCTTTCGTGAGCTACAGCTCACTTCATCGGATGCATACCGTGGAAACTGCAGCAGACTTTATATATATGCAGAGAATATGAAACAATACCTCCTCCCACCCCACTGTCCTGCTGGTAATAGCTTATCTAAAGTGATCATCAGGTTGGGCCATTTCCAGCACAAATCCAGGTTTTCTCACCCTCCACCCCCCCACACAAATTCACTCTCCTGCTGGTGATAGCCCATCCAAAGTGACAACTCTTTACACAATGTGCATGATAATCAAGTTGGGCCATTTCCTGCACAAATCCACCAATGTGATATATGCCACCATGTGCCAGCAATGCCCCTCTGCCATGTACATTGGTCAAACTGGACAGTCTCTACGTAAAAGAATAAATGGACACAAATCAGATGTCAAGAATTATAACATTCATAAACCAGTCGGAGAACACTTCAATCTCTCTGGTCACGCAATCACAGACATGAAGGTCGCTATCTTAAAACAAAAAAACTTCAAATCCAGACTCCAGCGAGAAACTGCTGAATTGGAATTCATTTGCAAATTGGATACTATTCATTTAGGCTTAAATAGAGACTGGGAGTGGCTAAGTCATTATGCAAGGTAGCCTGTTTCCTCTTGTTTTTTCCTACCCCCCCCCCCAGATGTTCTGGTTTAACTTGGATTTAAACTTGGAGAGTGGTCAGTTTGGATGAGCTATTACCAGCAGGAGAGTGAGTTTGTGTGTGTATGGGGGTGGGGGGGGATGTGAAAAAACCTGGATTTGTGCAGGAAATGGCCCAACTTGATTATCATGCACATTGTGTAAAGAGTTGTCACTTTGGATGGGCTATCACCAGCAGGAGAGTGAATTTGTGGGGGGGGGTGGAGGGTGAGAGAACCTGGATTTGTGCTGGAAATGGCCCAACCTGATGATCACTTTAGATAAGCTATTACCAGCAGGACAGTGGGGTGGGAGGAGGTATTGTTTCATATTCTCTGTGTATATATAAAGTCTGCTGCAGTTTCCACGGTATGCATCCGATGAAGTGAGCTGTAGCTCACGAAAGCTCATGCTCAAATAAATTGGTTAGTCTCTAAGGTGCCACAAGTACTCCTTTTCTTTTTACCAAGACTCTGAAATTCATCTTGATACCTTCTATTTTGGTTTAGTATTTCATACTATTTTCTTTTATCATATGTTTTAGTATTAGTTATTGTGATTCATGCTTTTTATAGAATATTTGATATGAGTCTTTACTTGCAAGTTGTAAATGCTGTAAGTGGTAAACTGTGTAAAAGAATGTAAGGAGGATTAATGCTTTGGATGTGCTATCTAGAGATAAACTAAGAAATCAGAAAAATGGGCCTTTTCACCCCTTTCCTCTGCAAAGAAAAGAACCTCTTGGTTTCGATCCCACACAAAGGATTCTAGAAAAAATTCTTATTGAAAATGATTTCTCTTATAGACATTCTAAAGTCTTCTTTCTTCAAGTGATAAGGAGAAAATTTATGATTGGGAAATGTTGTGTAGAAGACTTTTGTTTACATCTCATTCCGTGTTTCCATTTAAAGGTGAAAACCGTTGTTTATTTCTTGATTACTTAAGATGATATGAGATTCTTTTTAGACGTATAGTTGCAAATATTTTTATCAAATTGCAAGCCTGATATAATAACTTTCTGATGCCATTGCTATGTGAATAATGAAATGTTTTGTGTACAAATATATCAGAAATGATTAAATAACTGGTGACTAATGTAAGAAGCCATTAAAGTATAAAAACAGTGATGTTAATGGGGGGAATTAATTAGTCAAGAAGAAGAGATGATGTCTTCTTTGATGACTATTTGAATTTAAAGATTTTCTCTGAGAAGTTTAAAAGGGCTATTGGAGAACTGAAAGTCCCTTATATAGGAAACAGGGGTGTTTGTACTCATTTACTAGCAGATGAAATTCTGTTTCAATCTCTGATGAGACTGAATGGACTGAATAAAGGAAAGATTAAAACTCTAAACTTTAAATACTCTCTGAGAAGTTCCCACCGCAAGGACATCAGCTGCATGTGCATTCACAGATTGCATATTCAGCAGCTGAAGATGCTACTAAGACTGTTTTATGAAGGTGCTAAGCCAGTGAAAGGGTGACAGCAGCTGATATTTGAGTCCAGCCAAGCCTTGAATGAGGTATACCTTCCTTCTCCAGTGATACTACGGAAGGAGAAGATTATAAATCTCTCCAAACTGAATAAGCAAGTAACAATACTCTGCTCCCATCTCTCAGCTTCAACAGCACACTCATCACAGCACCTTCCTCTAAGCTCAGCTGTTCATCTCATCTCTGTAAGAAAGCAGCAGCTGTAATAGACAGCTGAGGAAAAAAACCTAAAACTGAACATTAAGAAGAAGTAAGCTTCCAGTTCAGCACTATTTCTGCAGCATGACACAACAGTGTCTACAGCACTGTCTCTCAACCTTTCCAGACTATTGTACTCCTTTCAGGAGTCTGTACCTCCAAGTTTCACCTAACTTAAAAACAACTTGCTTACAAAATCAGACATAAAATACAAAAGTGTCATAGCAAACTATTACTGAAAAATTGCTTACTTTCTCCTTGAGCAGTATAAACAAGTCATTTATGAAATTTCTGTACTGACTTTGCTTGGGCTTTTTATGTAGCCTGTTGTAAAACTAGGTGAATATCTAGATGAGTTGATGTACCCCCAGGAAGACCTCTGCTACTCTGAGAGGTACACGTACCCCTGGTTGAGAACCACTGGTCTACAGCAGCATTGGTGAGATGAAGTTTATCAAAGCACTGCCAAGTGATTAGATTCAAATTTTTCTTTTAATGGTTTTAATGAGATATTAAAAAACTATTGTAATTTAAGGTATTAACTGCTTCTTCTGTTAAACAGACTATACATTCCTGGAGAGGAGACATCAGCTAACTCTTGTAAATAAAGAGAAAATGTGTGATTTAATTTGGATTTAAGATACTTAATATGCATTAATTACTTGTCTCAAGACCTCTCATTGAATGGCTTCTTTTAAGTAACTGAATTTAAATGTCTTTGGTTTCATAGAATTTAGTTAAGATTACTCACCTTTGTCCATTTATAATGTGTTTATGTTATCCATGATAAACCAAATAGGAGTCACCTATCCTTGAATGAAATTCTTTTGTCCATCTATAAACAGTTTTAGTTACCTGTGATATACTTAGACAGGACTCATTACTGATTTGGGGAATAATATTGTTTGGTCTTATCTTACCTAAAGAAGAGTAGCTCCATTAGAAGAGGACCCACCCTTGAAGTAAAAAAGCTCTTCACAGAGAGGCATGCAGAAGAGATTGCAACTGAAGTAAAGATTGTTATTGCTTGTTTGTGTTCTGTTTTATTTTTATTTTTTTTCTTTATTTAATAATAAAATACTCATAGTGCTTATTTTGCTTCTCTTTAATTGTGGTATCTCCTAAGATCTGGCAAAGAACCATGTATGACTCTAAAATAGTGAGCGTCACATTGGGCATGAAGAGAGGCAATGATTAAGATTTGTCCTATCATTTCTTGGTATGGCTATAATATGTTAGTAATTTTTGGAATAAAAAAGTTACTTAGGAACTTGAAACCCCCGTTTCTACACAGCGATCACTATAGTACCTGGGCACATATTCTACTATACTGCCCTGGAAGGCCATATTGTAGCATGAGAAAGGAGTTTAGCCTTGATGGCAAACTCATGCTTTGTCCTCTTTTCTGAGATTCTAGTCAAGATGGCCAATTACTGCTAACAGTGATGGTGATATGGATAACTATCTACCAGGAACTAGACTGAGACATCACAACTTCCACTCATGCCATTGAAGAGCTGTTAAATAGTAACTTTTTGTCATTAGTGGCTGGAGCTGAACTGATACAGATAACCCAGAAGACAGACCTCAAAGGGTTCTGAAAGGGTTTAGCGCTAGAATTCAGGTGGGTCCAAAAAGTTCTAATGTATATATTTTGGGATTCTCCCAACCCTAACACCATCTTACTGAGATGTTGATCTCTTCCATCTTGGATTTTGGATTCTTCCTGATGGATGTGACAAGCGCAACGGCACCCTCTACAGTTAGGGGATTATGAGACAGCTGTGGTGGAAGACAAATGGAAACAGATTAGGAGGAGAATTTCACTTCCTGGCAGTGGGTGTGGGTGTCTCTCTTTCCCCGTCAGTCTAGACTTTAGGAAGGTCATGGCCCAACTGTGCCCTTTCAACAAGTTTATCTTCATTATCTGTCCATCTTGTCACGTTCCCATTAAACTCTGCAAAGCCAACTACAGGAATACATTCTGGTCACCTCCTTCTTCTCCTCCTTTGCCTGCCTCTGGCTTAGCATAAAACAATTTACTCTCCATTTCAGTTTAGGCAGCTCATATCAGAGTTTTCCTCACCCCCCTGGCTAAGGGTTTTCCACTCCCTTCCCTTACTCCTTGCCCAAAAAGCCTTTGTCTTTACCTTCAGGATTTTGAGATTTCCGTTGTCCTCTAACCCCCTGGCCAGCTTCCCAGCCCCTTCGTTGTTGATATGGTTGCTACTGATGTCCAGTTGGACCAGAATGTTGTTGAGTTTGAGAGCTTCTCCAAGGGCCAGAGCCCCCTCATTCCCAAAGCCATTCCATGAGAGGTCAAGTATCTTCAGTGTTCCATTGGCCTCCAGAGAGAGAAGAGAGGTGATCACCACTGGCATCACAGCCATTGCAAATCCAGCTGATGCATCAATCTATTCCTCTTGTGAAGCCCCCTTTCATGACTGAGGCAGTGAACCAACTGGGGACTTAAGAGCTCTGTCTGCTTCTTCACTGTTGTATTTGCCAGATAGGATTCCACCCATGTCAGCGGCCTCACAGCAGGACCTAGCAAATGCCAGCTGGGACTCCAGCAGTGTGAGTTTCCTCACAGATGTGACCTGCCAATGCCAGCTCTGAGCACAGTGATGCAAAATTCTTATCAGCAGTGCTGAGTGGGACGGAACCTGTGTGAGCTAACCAGGGCCAGCCCACAGCCCACTGTTGTGAACTTCCTCCCAGCACTGACTGTCAGTGCCCTCTTTGTGTGAGCTACCAAATCCAGCCCAGACTTCAGTGATGTGAGCTTCCTCTCAGCACTGCCCTATTATTACCAGTGCCACAGAGACTCCCCACTAAGGGCTTTCTCTCAGGGGTGCCCTTTACACTAGAGTGCACAGTCCTTTTCGTGCTACTCTGAAAATAGGTGATTATGAAAAGGCCAACCAGCATCCATGAAGCCGTACATTGGAGAGGGAGGTGCTGTGCCCGAACAGTCTTTCATGAATCATGTTAGCCATTACATCATCATCAGACAGACTTTGGCTCAGAGATGGGTGATGTTTGAGAGTGTGGGTAGGGAGGCGAATCTGTGCCTCTGCCCAAATTGGGATCTCTGAAGCAGATTAATCTAAAGTAAACTAAAGCTTGACAGGTGAGAAGCCTAGATGAGGGGTCACTGGGAGTATGTGTCATGGAAGAAGACCCCTTTGTCAGAGGAGGGTATGGATGGGAGTATCTGTTGTTTCTCTGTTGCTTGGTTTTGAGTGTTGCCTAAAGTTGACCACTCTGTAAAATTAGAGGGGCACAGGTTATTGGCAAACACAAGAAGTTGAATGGCTAGTGACGATATAAAAGAACCATTAGCAGAGCAAGGGCAGACCACTGCTTCAGCCAGGACATGCCAACCTTCCAAGCTCAGCTAACAATCAGGGTCAGGCTTATCATTATTCAGGAGGGAGGCTTACTCTGAGACCAGCACCCAATGCCACAGCCCCCTTCATCTGCAAGTGGTTCCAGCTCAGGTTCAGAAACTCCAGTGCTTCATTGTTGGCTGAGGAAGAGGAAAAGAGATGTTAGCTGAAGAAGGAGAATGAACAGAAATGCATTTTAAAAGGCGCTAGAGATTCATGTTATCTAAGGAGTGGGGAGACACGAGATAATCCCAGGCACACACCGTACAATACATACTACAAATGAACACATATAGATAAATAATATAGCTAGACACACATGGTAAGCATGCTCACAGACAGACTCACACAGTCTCTCTCTCTCACTCACCCACACACACACACGAACTTGCAGTTACTATACACAGAGCTGCATACAGATACATGCACAAATACATGCAAATATATTCATACAAAAGACTCTACATTTCCCCACCTCCCAAGACACTAGACACAGACCGCAGAAACAGGCTACAGATACTATTAGGGATCTTAAAGGAATAATAACACATCCTATATTAGAGAAACAACCTGCTGCTGCTACACTCCGTATTGATTCCACACTCAACACTACTGCTGCCATCCCCACTAATAACGCCCCCGTCACTGATACATGATAGTGATACCAGGGATCACTGCCCCTTCCTCCAGTGGGAATCTGATAGTGGCCTGAGCACCAAATACTCCTCTTGTAAGGTGTGTGTGACAGACTGACAATTTCCTGCAATGTCATGAATGAACTTTATTGATTTAAATTAAACCTTACTAAATTAGGTTCAATACCTTTGTGGTCCATTATATTAAATATGTAGTTGTGTATGTGTTAGTGGGAAATTGTGTGTAACTTCTCTAAGGAGACTGACTAATGCCCTCTATGGAAAGGATTAGGAATTTCAAAGGCCTTTTTGGAATAATACATGTAGAGTGGATTTCCTAGGAAGTACCTGGGATTAAGGGGAATGCAAATCACCTATTTGGAATCCACCCTTTTGAGCCCTGTCTGGAGAGGAAAAGCCATTGTCTACTAATTACCTGTTCCTGTAAATTCCAGATCAAAGACCTCTGAACTGTATAAAGGGTGGACTAAATATGTTATGACTGTGCTTGTTATGAGCTGAAGCTGTGATGAATTTGAAACCACAAGAAAACCCCTGATGGAGACTGAAGAATTACTCCTGCCAGAGCCCATGTAAGGGTTCGGGTGATCTCTGATAAAATTATTAGCATGTGTGTAGGTTCTTTTATTGTTTTTAATGTTTTGTCTGTAACGCTTTGACCTTAAGAATCAAATAGGTTTGCTCAGAAAAAACTGTATGGTAACTTATAGCTCTGGCCAGTCACACCGTTAACCATCTCTGAAGAGAAAGCAAACAAGTGTGCTTGGGCAGCATGTCTCTACCTGGAAGTACCTCGGTCAAAATGTAGTGGGATACAGGAAAGACAACAGCTGGGGAGCTGGAGGCCTGGGAGAGGCCTGTTGGACCTCTGAGGGGAAATACAGGTGCAGTTGCCCTGAACGGTGACAGAGTGCAGTGGAATTCTCTGAGTTGGTAGCTGGTCTTGTGAGGCCCAAGGGTGCCCTCTACAAGGGGAGAGCATGAAATAGCCTATGCTCCAGATGCTTCTTGGAGCAGGGCAGGCTCAGCAACATTCTGAGGGCTATCAACCTGATCGGAAAAGCAGAGATGCCCTGAAAAGCAGCTTAAGTTCCAGAGCCCAGATTCCTCCACCAAACCATTGCTAAGAGACCAAGACAAAGGGTTGCTACAGATCCATCAACAACATGAACTGACTTGCAGCAGGTGAAACCTGCCTCTGTTTTAACTCTAGCCAGAGTCTCCATGCTCACCAGAGAATCTGAAGAGCAGAGAATATGTTGGTGATGCTGGGTACGTCTCCACTTTGAGCTGGAGGTGTAATTTTCAGCTCGAGGAGGCAGAAGAACACAGTTCTCTGGCTTATGCAAAGAGCATATTACACTGGAGGGGTGAGGGAAGGGAGATGGTTCATACCAGTGGATGCTCACTTTCTGTAACAGATGGGTGGGATTCTACTTTCTACATACACAAAAAAGCAAGATGCCCTCTGCCTGCAGCTGATTAGCAAGCAAATAGAAATTCAACCCTTTGTGTCAGATGTGCACAGCTGTATGTGTGCCTGTACCAGTCCAGCTGCAAAGCATGGCACATGGTGGCAATTTTACTCAGGGTAGGATGTGTATAAATCCATTAGTGCTGTGTGTGAATCCATTAGTGAGAGAGGAGGCCTGCTACAGTGTTGGAAAATGACCTCTGATTGGGGCAAGAGGCTGGCTGCCAACATATTCCTATCTGATTTTATGATGATTCTCCGTGGACAGCAGTTTGGATCTCAGCACCCTGGCAGGTTTGCCCAATTTACAAAAAAAAAGATTAAAAATGTTTTTGCAAAGATCTTTTCATTTTGTGCCTCAGTGGAGCTGGAAGTAAAGAAATTTATTTCCACATGAAAGCTGGGCTCAGACACAGCCTCTGCTTGCTCTGTGAGGGCCCCTGTTTATCTTTAGACCCCGTTTTCCCACTGGATTAACTGAGGCACAAACACAGTCCCTTGTCACTCATTGCAGGATTGAATTTATCGGTCTTCTAAAGACCTGGGCTGATCTTAACCGTAAATCCATGATGGTGGAAACACTGAATCAGGAAAATGAAAGTGTTATTTGGACCAAAGAAAGGATTTCAGTATAGTTTAAGAGAGCACTGTGTGGTTAAAAAGCATACATTTGCTGCCAAGGAGCCATTGTGATAGGCAGAAATGCTAAGAGAAAGAGAGAGATTTGTAAAGGTCTTTCCCTGTGATACTATTAGCACCTGAGATTTGGATTTTGGCAGATTGAGAAGTCTCAGCCCCAAGGAAGTTGAGAGAGTCACCCAAAGTGAGTGGAATTAAGGGTGAATCAATGGCCCAACCAGGAAGGTTAAAGCCCTGGCTCCCAGTCCTTTACAGTAGCCATCAGGCCCCACAACCTTCTTGCTGTAAAATGTAAGAAAAGTGGTGGATTCACTTCTGCATCAAGGCTGGCCCCCAGAGGTCTCTAAGGGAAAGGGTGCCTGTACTGACTGCCCAGCTGGCTCTGTGGAAGTAATGAGTGGAGTTACCCAACATCTGTCCCAGATGCTCTCCTCCCTTCTCAGAGAACTCATTGTGGCTGAGGTCCAGCTCCTTCACTCGGTAATTGCCCTATGGAGAGAAATGGTATAGAGAGAATCAGATCTTCCATCCAGCTGCAGTCAGCTGCCATCTTAAGACCCCAGAAGAGAATGAAATATAGGCTTTCAGCTATTCTAGTGCACAGCAGTTTGTCAGCACGGAGACAGAGAATTATGATTCCCAGAACAAAGCAGGTTTGTCAGTCTTTTAACATGGTATTTTTTCCTCATGAAACAGAGGAGTCAGAAGGACTTTATGCAGCTAGGTCCAGTAACAACAAATGCTGTTCAAACTTCACTCTCACAGCTCTGTTCATGGACCTAGTCCTGTTCTGCAGCACACCCCTGCTATTCCAGTTCGGTCCCCATATTCCACCTCCACCAATGTGCCTCATTCCTGACCTATAGCACTTCATGTTACAAATGCAGATCCTGGGCAGAAACGTCCAGCGAAGCCAAATTGTGTTATGGTTTTTGTGATAGAGACTAAATTGAGAAAGGCACTAAACTTCTTTTCACTTGTGACTTTCAAAGTGATTTAAATCATACCACTTATGTTTCTTGAAAGCTTTGCATTCTCAAAATCCCCTTCTGTACTCCTGTTACGCACTCCAGAAGGTTCATCTCCTAGCCAGAACCCAACAGCTGTCCTGAGAAAACATTGACCTGGTACACACTTCCCCCTGTCCTCCGAGCCTGTCTCCTTTCTAAAGCAAGTGACAAGCACTCCTCAGAATTATGTCAGGAAATCATCTGGGTACTAAAAGGTGGGAATCAAACCAAGTAAGTATGGACTTTAAAATGGGGAGAGCCCTTAATTAAGGCTACAATTTTGTCATAGCTATTTTTAGTAAAAGTCATGGACAGGTCATGGGCAATAACTAAAAAGTCATGGCCTGTGACCTGCCCATGATTTTTATTAAAAATACCCCATAACTAAATCTTAGGTGCTGGGGAAGAGGGGCGCTCCCGCAGGTGTTGCTGCTGTGGGGGAGGTTCCAGGGGATGCTGCTGCTCCGGGGGCAGGGGGGGAGGGCGCTCTGGAGTCACGCTGCTGCTGGGGTGGGACGGCCTGGGGCCCTGCTGCTGCTGCTGCTGCTGCTGGGGGTGGAGTGGCCCAGGGCTCCGCAACACGGCTGCTGGGGAGGGGGTGGCCCAGGGCTCTGCTGCTGCCAGGTTACTCACCAGTAGTGCCTCGGCGAAGTACTGGGCAGTTTCCTCCCTAAAGTTGTTTCCTGCAGAGGAGAAGCATGTGTTAACAGAGCTCAAAGGTCTCCTTTGTGACATTGCACTGTGTCTGGGAGAATCTCCTGGGCTGGCTGGAATGGCATCCCATAATGGTGAAGAACAAATAGGGTTGAAAGAGGTTACCTCCCCACTTTCTCTTCTTTTGACCTCCTTTCTAGTGTTGTTTTGGGACTCACAGAGCACTCAGACATTGCCTAACTAAGGGTCTTACCTAAATTGCTCAGAGGTGGCTGTATTTTAGAGATCCTTATCTTGGTATAAATATAGGTATAAATCTAGACTTCAGTGCAGTTACTCTGCATTTACACCAGAGTACATATACATGAGAGCAGAATCTGGCCCATAGTCTATAATGTGCTTTCAGGATGAGAAGAGTTATAGAAGTGAAAAATATCATATCAAACTCCTCCCCTGCCCTCTTCCTAGAATGCATGGACCCACCTGAGAGCTGAACAGCCCGGAGACAAGAAATATTATCCAGGAACATCCTGGAGATGGCTTCCGCTCCTTCTGTGCCTATGTGGTTATTGGAGATGTTCTGAAAGGGAAGTATCAAGTATATGAAAAGAAAACCCCCCAGAATGAAGCTGCTTTTAGTGTTGTTTGTGGCTGAATGTGCAAGAAAGGCTAAGAGAATCCAAGATCAGCAGGACAGAGGCACTAGTCAGGCAGGATCACTCTTAGACAGTAATTAAAACCAGAGGTTTCCTTCTATTTTGATACTTGTATGTGCAACCCCAGCTCCTTTGTAATAGGAGCAAAACTGCAGAGCCAACAACTTCACTGAGGTCTTGGTCTTCAATGAACCAGCAGTTACTTTGTCAAAGATCTTTGATGCCGCACAAAGCCCAAGGCCTTACAAAATCCATTCCATATGCCCCCAATTTTGGATACAGGAAACATTACTCAGAGCGTATATAAAAAAGTAATTTTGTATTCCTCTCTTAATCTGTTCAGAAGGGCTTCCACACACCCTGTTGGAGCATGAAAATCTCTGATACAGAACATTTTCTCCATTGGCTAACCATACTGTAGAAGGATTTGTTTATGAGAAAGAAGGTAGTCATTTTGTGTGTTCCTGCAAATTAATTAAATAATTCCATAGCTCTGGGGAGCCCATCATGCTCTCACTATTTTGCTTTTCTGCGGCTTGTACTTTTTAAACTAGAGGGGCACAAAAATTACGACATTCAGAATGTGAATTTTTTTGTGAGGAGGCAATTAGAACTTGGCAACTAATTAACTGATTTTCTTGAAACTCAGAAAATTCAAAATTTCCTCAGATACTTTGTGCAGAAAATCTAAGGCAGATACTATTGTTTTATATTAAAAATGCACTGTACGATTTGGTATAGCACAAGGTGGGGATACGAGACCTGAAAGATCAATGGTCTGACCCAGTAAGGAAGGATACTGGATGAGATGACAAATGGTGGGAGCTTGTATGTCTCCTATGTTGCCATGTTCCAGTGTGTTAGAACTAGGAAGAAAATTGGATACCAGCTCTTGAATGTAGCAGTTCTCTCGTAGCATCTGTACCAGACACGTGACTCCTTCAGCCAGGATCCAGTTATCTTCCAGCTCCAGATGAGTGATGGTTGTGTTGGACTAAAACAGCCCAAACAAGACAGAGAGAGACAGAGAATTGCTGGAATGTTAGTGAAATGGGCAATGTCCTCCGTGTAATTTACATAGTCCCTGTATACCTCCCATATAAGGCACTGCAGAAACTGTGCCTAACATAACTGTGGTCAGTGAAAAAGGGCAGAGCTGGGGCTGAGGGTGTTGGGACATGAAAGAGACTTGGTTAAGTGGTGTAGCTGCCAAGTGATTCATGCTCTGCACTGCTGTTATAGGAGAATCAGGTTCAATTCCCAGTCTCAATCTTAGGCTCCCTGGGTCTGCCCAGTGGTTAGCAGAGAGCCAGGGTTGGGGTATCAATCTTGCTGTCTTACTTCCTGGGCTTGTAGGGGGTAGGAGTGCTGGAAAATCAGGCCCTGAGGGGGCCTGTAGGACCCTTCTACAGTCAGCAAAGAGGTTCCTTCTTTTGATTGGAAGCTTAGTGGCTGCAACAGCTTTGATAAATTAAATTGATAAATTAAACAGTAATAAGTCACCAGGGCCAGATGGTATTCACCCAAGAGTTCTGAAGGAACTCCAATATGAAATTGCAGAACTACTAACTATAATATGTAACCTATCACTTAAATCATATTCTGTACCAGATGAGTGGAGGATAGCTAACTGCACACCAATTTTTAAAAAAGTCTCCAGAGGCAATCCTGGCAATTACAGGCCAATAAGCCTAACTTCAGTACCAGGAAAACTGGTTGAAACTATAGTAAAGAACAGAATGATCAGATACATAGATGAACACGAGTTGTTGGGGAAGAGTCAACATGGCTTTTGTAAAGGGAAATCATGCCTCATCAATCTATTAGAATTCTTTGAGGGGGTCAGCAAACATGCAGACAAGGGTGATCCAGTGGGTATAGTGTACTTAGACTTTCAGAAAGCCTTTGACAAGTTCCCTCACCAAAGGCTCTTAAGCACAGTAAGATGTCATGGGATAAGAGGGAAGGTCCTCTCGTGGATCAGCAACTGGTTAAACAATACGAAACAAATGGTAATAATAAATGGTCAGTTTTCAGAATGGAGAGATGTAAGTAGTGATGTCCCCCAGGGGCCTGTATTGGGACAAGTACTGTTCAACATATTTATAAATGATCTGGGAAAAGGGGTAAACTGTGAGGGGGCAAAATTTACAGATGGTACAAAATTACTCAAGATAGTTAAGTCTAAAGCAGAGCTACAAAGGGATCTCACAAAACTGGCTGACTGGGTAACAAAATGGCAGATGAAATTCAGTGTTGATAAATACAAAGTAATGCACATTGGAAAACATAATCCCAACCATACATACAAAATGATGGGCTCTAAAAATTAGCTATTACCACTCAAGAAAGAGATTTTGAAGTCATTGTGGATAGTTCTTTGAAAACATCTGCTCAAAATGCAGCAGCAGTCAAAAAAGCTAACGGAATGTTAGGAACCATTAGGAAAGGAATAGATAATAAGACTGAAAACATCATAATGCCACTATATAAATCCATGGTAAGCTCACATCTTGAATACTGCATGTAGATCTGGTTGCCCCATCTCAAAAAATATATATTAGAATTGGAAAAGGTACAGAGAAGGGCAACAAAAATGGTTAGGGGTATGGAACAGCTTCCATATGGGAAGAGATTAAAAAGACTGGGACTTTTCAGCTTGGAAAAGAGATGACTAAGAGGGGATATGGTTGAGGCCTATAAAATCATGACAGGTGTGGAGAAAGTGAATAAAGAAATGTTATGTATTCCTTCACATAACACAAGAAATTTCTGGGGTCACCCAATGAAATTAATAGGGAGCTGGTTTAAAACAAACAAAAGAAAGTACTTCTCTACACAACACACAGTCAACCTGTGGAACTCATTGTCAGGGGATGTTGTAAAGGCCAAAACTATAATAGGTTAAAAAAAGATTTAGATAAGTTCATGGAGGATAGGTCCATCAAAGGCTATTAGCGAGGATGGTCAGAAATGCAACACCATGCTCTGAGTGTCCCTAGCCTCTGATTGCCAGAAGCTGGGAGTGGATGACAGGGGATGGATCACTTGATGATTGCCTGTTCTGTTCATTCCCTCTTACACACCTGGCATTGGCCTCTGTAGGAAGACAGGATACTGGGCTAAATGGACCATTGGTCTGACCCAGTATGGTGGTTCTTATGTTCTGTGTAGAGGGTTAGAAATGGTAGGGTTTCTCAGGGCTCCTACAAGGATAAAGTAGCTTTACCCACCCCTCCCCCCCACACTAAATAATAGCCTCCAAAATTTGGAGAGGCCCAGTATACCTGTTGGCTTTGAGTTGACACTACTTCCATCCTTGATCAGGTACTCACCACCAGTGTGATGGCAATGGCTTTGGCACCCTTGGGTCCTAGACCATGATGGTTCAGGTTCATGTAAGGCTCCTCTATGTTCCGAATGAAGTAAGAGACAGGCACCACTCCCACCAGTTTGCAAGCCTCTAAATATAGCTCTGCACCCTTTATGGTTGCAAAGGACCTCTCGGTATCTACAGAAACAAAGGAGGCTTGTGAGCAGTGTAGTCAGTGTCCCATCTCTCTTCCCCCCATCACTGCAGCTATTTCTTCACCTGCAGAGGGAACTGGTTGATTCCTTGCTGGGGTCCATAGGTTACCTCATGAGGAAGGGCTAGAAGACATGAGCCAAGCAAACCCCCCCGCCTCCCCCCCCACCCCGAAGAGTCAAGCTAGTAAGAATCTCTGTGCATTTCTCCCTTTTGCTCAGCGCTGGCCTTGCAATTTGATGGAAGGAAAGATTAGGATCATGTGAAACGTTCTCTCCCCCTCAACTGTGATGATGGGGGAGACTGGGACAGCCCAAGAGTTGCCAGGCTTGCAGAGAGCCAAGAAGTCACTTGTGCTTTTTGTGTTCATGAGACCCTCACTCCGCATGTTTTCAGATTCATGAGTCAAATTCAACCTTTCAGTCAACAGGCCATGTCAGATTCATGGGCTTGGCTTTTTGTGGCTGACCTATGTCTAATTTTGCCTTGTTGAGCTAAGCTGAGGGAAATGGAATTCCACAGGATAAGAATAAGATCTCTGCTCTTAAAGACATCTGTTTCTGGGACAACTTATCCTGTACCAACTCCTTCTATGTTTGACTGTTTGGTTTCTCATATCTAACTTCAGAAACCTGGAACGTGACTAAATCATTCCAGGTCTAAACAAGCACTTCTGACATTAGGCAAGTAAGCCTTATTTTATTTATCATAACTGAAGCCTATGGCAAATAGTGCCAGAGGAGGCTGGTCAACCCACAGCACGTTGGCTTACAAATGGCAGAAAGAAACTCTGTGTTCTCATCATCTCGGCCACTGGAAGTTGCTGACACAGCTGCAGTAGAACAGACCAGGACAGCTGATGGCTGCATTTCTGTAAAAACCTGTCATTTGGACTTTCTTCATCAAACCCAGTATTTAGAGGTTGTATTGCTACATTTATGCAATGGTTTAACCTCAGCACAAACTCCACTCTAGTTAAAGTACTTTTGACAGTTATATTTGAGGACTCTCGCAAACATCTCCTTTTACTTCGATTCTTCTGGTTTTTAATTTTCTTTCTTTCTCCTTTCAATTTATAGTACATTAACAAAGTGCCGATCCTAGGCTCCAGATATCTTTGCCATATATAAAAATGTGAGCAGAGTTTGATTAACCAGACATTTACTAGCTAAAGGGCTAAACCCACTAGCTAGAGAATGATACTAAAGATAAGAGGGGCTCTACCAGCATGGTTTGGAGACAGAGGCCTTGGTGAGAAGTCCACCCTTTTCTTACCCAAACTGCTGGAAAACGGGAAGGGTGCTGGGATTCCTACTAGGGCAGTGTCCTTGGTCCCTGCTCAGGGACTCCACTTCTTATATTAATCTCTTGTTAATAGGTGCTGCACTGACTGTGAAGGAAAGGGTTTAGTTGGAAGTGTGGCCAGCAAATGCTCACCTTCAATCTCTAGGTCTGTGTCAGAGCTGTCTGCTCTTGTCTTTTCCTCTGCTGGGCTGTTGGATTGGTCAGCAAGCAACATGGATTCCACAGACAGGCTGCCCTCAGACATCTCATTCTGGTCTGGAATGAAATTGATCTGCTTCATTCTGTGAATACAAACTTAATGCATATGCAACACCCCACAAGACACTGCAGAGAGAACCTTTTTCTCCCTTCACTGAATCCCAGGGTCCCCTTAAAAATGTTTCAGGTACTTTCTTCCCCAGCCCCAAATCTATGTGCATCCCTCCACTGCATTATACTTACTTGGAAGCTGTCACTGGTGTATGGATGTTCTCACTTGAGCAGTTGGAGGTGCCTGGACACCCAATGGCTTGGCATCTTTTGGAGCAAACTCTCCAATAAGCTGGAAGCCCAAGTTTATGGAGGGCTATTTGTTCTCTCACACTAGTCGTTTACTGATTCTGGTGACCTGCATCTTCCCTCTCTCTGATTTCTGAAATTACCAGTCACTGGCAATCAAATCTTCCCACCCCCCGTGTCCTAGCCCTTTTGTTAATCCTCAAGCCAAAACCATGCCAGTTACTTTAAACTTTTCCTTCCCGGGTGGCTTTCTCTCAGCCTGTGTGCTGCCTTTGCTATTAGTCTGAGAGTACTTAGTTGTGTACTTCGAGTAAGGCGAAGGAGAAATGGTTTGAATGCCACTGTACACTAGGATTGAGCTGTCACTCAGCAGCAAGACTTGTAATCTGATCCCAGTGGATGTGATACAGCCTCTCTCACCCCCAATTCATAATTTATTTTACAATTAGGGAGAAAGAGAGATTGGAAAACTACCCTATGGGGGAAATAAAATCATGCAAGAGCCAAGAACAATAATGTCACCACACCCAATCCTGGCTGACAAGTGGAGGGAAATGTAATCTTACTATTTATCTTTCTCTTTTTTCACTGTTACCTCTCTGCTGCCTTTTCCTCTGACTTCTTACTTGCCTTTACTGACTGGTTATTGACCTGTAATTTTGTCCCTTCTCATTCAATATTAAAGCTTGACATGGAATCCACAGTTTAGCTGTCCAGCCAGAGATGTATGTAAGAGGATGACTGCCAGTTGCGTCAGGTGACAGGGCATCTCACTCACTCCACTCAGTTTGCCTCCAGCCCCAACCTCCCGACCTAAGACCCAAGCCCTTTTGTCAGACTTTGCTTGTTCAAATGAGTCATTTGCTGACTTTGTTTTTTAAAAGGAGGAGAAGGGGGCAAAGAAAGAAAAAAGTGTCTCTAAACCCTTTATAAACAACTCAAAAGACACACCACATAGAAGTGACTAGGTGGAGACATACAATAGTTTCTCTTGTGTCCTTTCATTGTTATTATTTATTTGTATTGAGGCCCTCTGAGGATCAGATATCCACTGTGTTGGGCATTGTAGTGGGGCAGCTGCCCCACTCCTGCAGAGCCAATAGTAAAAGCAGCCCTGGAGAGGGCTGCAGCTGGGAACAGCTAAGCTGATTGGGGGAAGCAACCACAGCTGGGGCCACACCCCAATCAGGCCACAGCTGGCCCTTATAAGAGGGCTGTGGGCCAGAAGCTGGAGGAACCTTGCTCTAGTTCTGGAGTGAGAAGGGTTAGCTGTCTGGGAGCAAGGTACCTGAGGTGGAACAGTGCTGGGGAGCTCCAGCCTGGTAAACCCCCAGGCTGCAGACTCTGGTAAAAGGCCAGAAAGGTACTGGGGCTGTAGAGGGGCAGCCTGGGAATAGGCAGGGGCAGCTGGTTCTAACCCCTTGCCAATGATGAGTGCTCATTACACTGCAGTCTGCCCCAGTGAGTGGGGGTTAGATGATGACTGGCAGTAGCCATTGAGGCAAGGTGAGTTTAGAGGGTTGGGGGTTCCCCAGGGAGGGGAGACCCAGAGTGTGGGGGTACTGCTGGGGCAGAACCCCAGGGTAAAGTGCACTGGGGTCTGGGAGGGATATGGATGCCAGTGGCAATTGAGACACCAGCCTGCAGAGGGTGTGCTGAAGGCTGGAAAGAGCTAATTCCTGAGACAACCAGCAGGTGGTGCCCTGCTGGTGAGTCATTGCCTTGCTACAGGCATAATAATAAAGATAAAGCCCCAGCTCTGAGGAATGTATAATCTCTTTTTGTAACACTAATTCTTGTGGCCTCCCACCACCCAATAACATCCATTGTTGTTTTGTGTCCAACATGGCATCCAATCCGGTGCCACCTAAGTAATTCCTGTAAAGTAAGGGCTCCAGACTTGAGCTCCTTGGGGCTTTTGTCTAGGAAAAGCCATGCACACCTGCAGTGCTGTAGAAGTTAGTAGTATATCTAAAGTGCTGTTCAAGAAAAGCACAGGCAAGGGTTTTTAAAAGTGAACATTATATTATTATGCACTAAATATATTATCTCTTTTAAAGAGACAAGGTGGGTGAGGTAATATCTTCTTTCACCAACAGAAGTTGGTCCAATAGAAACAAGCTTTCAAGTATGCAGAGCTCTTCTTCAGATCTGGAGGAACAGATTGTTTAGCATAAGTATTATTATTATTTTATTTATTAAAGTAAATGTAATAAAAGATGGCAGTTCTGGAGACTCATGTCCTTCATTTATCCAGACTACTGGTGCTGCCAGGGTAGCATTATGGCAAACTTCCTCCTGACACAGTGTCCTTATCAGTGTACTTCCACCATAGTGATGAGAGGGGATTTCAGTCTCTGTGGCTTGGAGTGAGACATGGTAAGTCATGAATCCAGCCTCCTTGCAGGTGCTTTCTTTTACACATCCTCAGCGCTGCCTATTCTATTCTAGGCCCATCTCTTTTGTTTGTTACCTCTTTAAATTGTGCCACATGGACATTAGACAAGTAAAAAGAATAATTTTTACTTAAATGGTAAGCTGTCTGGGGCGGGGTAGTGATGTAGTGGCCTCCCACTGACCCATGGGGGTGGGCGCACTTGCAGATCCCTGGTGAGTGGAGTGAGGCTGTGCTCATCCCGCCCACCAGAAGTCAGTGGATGGGACAGGAAGTACAAAAGGTGGGTCTGCAAGCTCAGTTGGGCTGCAGCCGCTGAAGGAGCCAGATGTCTCCAGCCTGCTCCCGAACTGGGAGATTGCCATGGACCCCTGTGGCGCTGAGGACTGGCCAATGTTGCCCAAGCCACACGCTTACCATGCCAAGGAGGAATTGTCGGGACAACTACTGGCCTTCTACCTGGACAATGCAGAGATCCCCTTATAGACCCAGGTATGCCCCAATGGGGAGATAGGAAGTCGCCTGGGGGAACTAGACAACCGTCAGGTTGAGAGCTGGCCTGCAACCCAGTCAGTGTGTTGCAGGAGGATACCCAGTGGCAGACTCCTCCACCACTGTTAGGGCCCTGGGCTGGGATGTGGTGGAGTTGGGTAGGCCTGCATCACCCCTGCCACCTAACTGCTGTCCTTAGGTGTACACAGCTGCATAGGGCACCTGAAAATTTGGGGCACCCCAGGGTCTTAGTGTCCACACCTCTGCCTCTTCTTATCCCTGTTATGACCCTTCCTGCAGCCTGGTGAGTCTTCCTCCAGGGATCGAGTAACTTAAAAGTGAAAAAGCTTTTCAGCCTGCCAGACCTATTAACACAATATTGAAACTGTTAAAGAGGCATTCAAGTGGTAATGAAGCCATTTAACAGGCATTTGCCAACCCCCAGGTATATACTGTCAGTTTCTGAATTTACTGACAAACAGTTGTGCATTACTGTAATATTTACTCAGAACATGTTAATTTACAGGACCTTAGTTTAAAATTTGCTTTTAAAATATTTCATTTGTGTTGGTGAATATTATAAAATTACATCTCTAAAAAAATCCTTGCATAGATTTTTAGAAGCACAATCTGAGTATTCATCTTTAGCCTTAAATGCTTGGATCTTCAGACATACAGTTTTTAAATAAATCCTTCAGAAGACCACCCTTATCTAAAATACACATGAATTTTAATTACTGTAGTACAAAAAACTTGCTTCCAAAGTCTCTGTCCATCCCTTTCTCTCTTCACTCCCCTGTTGGAGAGAGCCCTTAAAGAGACAACACCCCTTTCCTTCCAGATAGCTGGACAAATGAGTTTCCCTGTCTTTACCTCTGACTATTTGATGAACTAGTTTTTAAGAGAACCCTCTAGCAAAATCAGTATCTTAGTAAGATATCAAATGCTTTGTTCTGCCTAAAATCTTTGGAAACATTTTTTAAAGTTGGTGAAATTTCATAAACATGTCTACTGTTATGGAGAATACACAAAGTAAATTAGTGTTCCTTTTTTCTAAAAGCTATGAACACTAAACCTCTGACTGATTTTAAATGTCTGTTTCAGTGAGTTAAATATGTAGTACTCTGGAATGATTACTTTATGAAGGCTTAAGAGTACATTTAAAATATAAAATCAGCTTAGAAATACTGATTAAGAAAACGTAAAACAGGGAAGAGCTGTATCATGTATTCCATAATATTTAATGCTGTAGTCAGCAAGACAGCTGACTTGCCCTTGCTACAAAGTTTTTTGCAAATAAATCTAACTTCAGGGTATATCAAAAAACCTGTGACTGACCTTTTTTATTCCCATGTTTAGTGCTTTTAATTAGGTACCTTCTGCATAGCCAGTCTTCACTAACTGGCATGCAGTAGAAAACATTCTCCATTTTCTTTAGAAAGAATTTGCAGAAGAGTGGTGTGTGGTTTTCTTCTCATCCCCTCCCCCCGGCCCCATGTCATTTGCTTCATTTGGGTTCAGGGATTTGGCTGGAAGGGGATGAGCAGAGAGGAGGGAGACAGTGGGAAGAGGGTGGGGCCTGGGGTGGAGTATAGGAAGGGCCAAAGGCAGAAGAGGTGGGCTGCTGGGGAGCTAGTCTCCCCAAGCAGCAGCTTCACCCACCGCCCATGACAGCAAGTAAGAGCAGCTCCCACACACCCAGCTCACGCTGCAGTCTCCTCAGGCAGGGGCCATAGTCAGAGCTGAATGCGTTGGTGCTGCACATTCTGCGTGAGGGAGAGGGTACGGGGGTCTCTGCAGGGAACACTGACTCTCCACCACCATGAGGCGGGATGGGCGGCTTGGTATCCTTTGCTGCCTCG